CCTGGAGATGGCCTCCCCCAGACACGGCCTCCCCCGGGCCCCCTCAACCACCGCCCAGGGTTGCAAAACGGGTCCTACCTTCGTACAGGACCTCCAGGTGCACCGAGCACAGCACACCCAGCACGGGCTCCACGAGGACGGAGGGGGCCTCTCCCACCACGTCCTACGGGGAAAAGGGCAGAGTGGCAGAGGCAGTCTTCGCACAGTACTGCAGGCCGTTACCCTCCAAGCACAGGGGCTGCCCAGTGCAGCCTCTAGCACCAAGGGGACCGGCCCAGCTCCTGCCGGGGCAGGAAGGACAGACGTGGAAGCTAACACTGCCCTTCATGCCCAGCCGGGCCCACTACCCACCTGCAGGACCCTGAGGGTCTGCAGAGCCAGCTGCTGGGCACGGGGGGAGGCACACGGCAGCACAGCAATGAGACCTTTATAGACTTGGTTCTGGTACTTGGGATTGCCGCGGCCCAACGAGTCCAGCAGAACCTGGGCGTCTTCTTGAGCCTCTGCTGACTTGGAAGTGGCCAAGAACTCGGCGAGGGATCGCACCCCTGTGCAGAGAAAGAGATGCCAAGTTGTGTGCCTGGACGAGTCTGGGTCACCCATCTCAGTTGTTTCACTGACACCCCGAGAGAACCCAGCACCACATCCCACTCGAAGCGTGGCTTGAAGAACAGAAGCCAGGAAAAAAGCTCTTTGTCCTTGTCAGGAGCCACAACACCAACTGGAAAACCAGTCGGCAAAATTCTCAGCTGGAGTAGGTGGCCAAGGCCCTTCTGCGGGCGTTTACACAAGCAGAGAATCCGGCACTGGGATGCCAACGGTGCTGCTAAGGATCCCTCCGCTGATCCTGCCGCTTCATCTCCCTTGGAGGAAGCTGCGGCGGCAGGTATCGCCCCGTGGCCTCTGACAATGTAATCCCAACTACAGAACAGCTACAGGGGTTTAGCTTCCACGGCCCAGGAGAAAAAACAGGCAAAAAACCGCTGTAATGCTCTTTCAAAAGACACAAGCCGCAAAACCCTCCCAGCCCCACAGGGGAAGTCTGGGAAAGTTTGCAGTAGGTGAACGCTGCAGGTAAGAATGGGAACTGTTTTGTGGTTTAACTGGAGCAGTTGCAACCAGCAGGACAGCAATATCGCATCAAAGGAAACGACTGTAAAGAAAGCGAGCTCATTAAAAACTGAGAGAGGGGATGAAATGCAACTGCTCAACAATAGCCGAGACTCTGAACCCCTTCCAGCCAGAGAAACGCCGCGGCAGTCTGCCATCCGGCAGGTGGAGGGAAGGGAGTGGCTCAGCGCTGCGAGCAGCCCCGGGGGCCAGAGGTCAGGGAGAACGTCCTCGCCTGAATTAGGAAAAAGCACGGACGGACACGCCGCCTACCGTAGCTTTCACAAATGAGCTCCTTATACTTCCTGCCAGCGTCTGCGACGAGCTGCAGCAGCTTTACAGACTCCCTTTTGTCCTCCTCTTTCAGGTGGTTCAGCCCTAGTACTTCCAGGAGAATCGAGACACCTCCGATCTCCAGAAATTCAGTAAGGTATCTGCGTCTGCAAGGATAGGGGGAACAGAGCCAAAAGCGTCGCCTGCCTTGGAGCCCACCTTCCTCTGTCAGCACGCCGTGCTGCTGGGAACCACCACCTCCTGCCTCGCTGCAGCGGGTGCCCGGTGCCCGGGCAGTGAACACTAGGAGGCTCAGCCTGGACCGCGGAGGCAGCTGCCCGCCGGCAGCACGCTTTGCTGCCAGCGGGTCACCAGCTCCCGTTTTGCCCCGTGCTCATTTCCGATAGCGAACCACAGGCACAGAAAGCCCCGTCTCCGCACTCAAACTCTCACTGCATTCCTTCCACATCGTGTCAGTGAGCCGGTGGCTCTGGAGACATGCACAAGCAGTGGATTTGGTTTTGAGAGCACTTGAAATTCCTACCACAAGCCTCACTGGGGCCTGCCTTGCCCGAAATGCCCACACGGCCCTCCCAAAAGACCGCCAAGGACTTGTTATTTTCTTTATCTGCTCACCCCCTCGCCCTTGTGTGCCTTCCCCACGGCACCTCTCACACAGTGACATTCTATACTCACCCACTTGCAGCAGATAAGAAGATGCCAACGGACTTGAGCAGCCTGTTGAGGCACGTGCTGTACGTGTAGCTGTTTGACAAGGCTAAGGAGGGATTTACAGACCATCGCGGTGTCCCCCAGCCAGCCTTTGGCAATGTGGAGGTCTGAAGTGGGTACTCTCTCTGCAAGAGAGCATGGCCCTTCCTCTCACAGGCGTGCAGAAGCAGCACGCTCATCCCTATGTGAGAAAAAACACTATTTCTAGGTCCCTGAGAGACAGGTTACATGACTTTCCCTTCAGTTCCATCTTTAGACAGCCTTTTTTTTTTTTAACCCTGCAGAACACGGCTGGATATGGATGTCCCCATACAGAAGCTTATTCTTTAAACAGATTTTTGGTAGAGAACTTTCCCTTCCTCTCCATCCCACTATCACACGCCACCTCCAGCTGTCCAAGGAAACAGATACGTCATCCTGAGCCATGCTGTTAGGCGAGCCAGAAACAAGCTGGCTCCCTGGGAGAACTCCAGCTCCAGCTCTGGTTCTGTCTTGCCGTCATTGCTTTTAATGAAGTTGTCCAGGATGCGGCTTCGGGCAACTTTGTGGGCACTATCCCATTCCTGCAAGAAAACCATGAGCTTCCTGATGGCTTCCTGCTCTTTGACAGAAGTCATGATCTCTTCTGCCTAGAGAAAAGTGAGAAGGAAGTTAGAAAAGGGCTTTGAAGATAGAAAAAGTCTGTACGAAGGAATTACCACCAGAATTACATTAAAAATCTCTGGCAAATAATATTAAAGCACTTACTAGCCATTAATTTAATCTCGTTTTCCTTTATACTCATTTCATAGATAGATAGGAAAACTGAGGCAAAAGGAGAGTTCCTGGTATGTCTGAAGCTGCACAATGAGCCTGCGACAGACTTGAGATTATTTTCCAGGGCAGGTGGCTTCACCAGAGGAGCTCTCTTCTCTGCTCCGTTAATAAAGTCATTTACCCATTACCCCAGCCTTGGTTTCTCGCTAGCCTCATGATATGAACACCGCGTCTCATATCTGACCTGCCAGAGAATAAATAGGGTGAAATGAGAGCACAAATAGGTATGGATTTATGGGGAGTGACAGGGTCAAGGGGGCTGTAAATGCCTGTTAGCACAGCAGCGCAGCATGCCCTCACTCACATGATGGAGCGACAGTCATTTGGACTGGGCCCACATGCCCTCCAGGAAGATGTGCTTGGCCTTGGCAGTGGGAGAGCGCTTTGGGACCCTTTGGCATGACAGGCATTTGCTCTGCTTTTTCCTTATCTAATTTCTATGGCATGTTTTTAAGCTATCTAAGAAAACCTGAAATGATAAGAACTATAGGTAAGAAGACAGAAGCTCCAGAAACATCCCTTGCCTGCACTTCCTTCTATCCCTTCACACAGGTGTTAAATAAAGCAATCCATATTTTGCCGAGTTTCTTTGGCACGCTCCTGGCTCGGTATGATATCCCCTGTCCCAGCCTGACAAATGTGAAGGTGCACTTAGTAGGGGGATGCAGTGTCAGAGGATTAAGCTCTCCGTTCGTTCAGGTAGGTGAGAATTCCACCGACACGTATGCGTTCGGCTTTCAGACACTGACCAATCTCAAGGAGCCTCGCAGTTAAACATCAGTATCTGTGTACATACACAGATGCAGAAAAAGGGACAAGGTCACAGACAGCTGCATTAGCACAGGCACGTTGTCCTCCACCAAGCTGTGTCAACGTGCCTGAGGATACGAAAGGAATTCACGCCTTGTCTAATACAGTTCTTGGACTTCCTACATAAGAAAAGCACCATTTTAGGTTTTATTTAACGTGTGGTTTAAGAGAAAAAAAATGAAAATGACACAAAATCTTTGGGTTTCAGAATAAGAGGTTTCTTTCAAGGTAATACAAGTCACCAAGATTACCAATTTCCTATCTACAAAGATCTTGAGCCTTTTCTCCTAGAATCTGGAGCAAAATTCCACATCAGTTCTAGAATACCCCCAAGATACCTGCTCAAAAGTAAGTTTCTATTGCTGTTATCTGAACTAGACTGAAAACAATGACCAAGAGGTGAACATGCACCTCGGTGCCTGAAAACAAACAAACGAAGTCTTCAAAAAGCTGGCTATGAAACAACGTTTGAGAATTAAGATGAGATGAAATTTCATTTGGGAATTAACGGTCTGTGCTCTGTAAGGAGTCTGTGTCCTTGGCAGGGCGTTTTCAGGATCTCCTTTGCAGGGAAGCAGGTTTAAAATAAATCCATTTTCCCAAAATAGTTGTGATTGAAAATGTTATTAGCCATAACAAATGTTAGTGCTGACAGGAGAATGGCCTGTTAGGGGCCTCTGGTGAAACAGTCAAGTGAAAGTCATATTTCACATTATTGCGAGCATTTTCCTGTGATTTACAGAATATTTGTGAAACATTACTTGCAAGGCATATGATTGATATTGAGAGAACAGCTAGTGTGTAGGGGGAATCTGTATTTCACAGAGACTGTTTGCATGAAATTTACAGTCCCATAAAGTGCTCCTCTATCCTCAACAGAGATCTAGTTAAAAGAACTTTACAGTCTGAAACATCCCAAAATTGATTCTAAATTAACGTTTCCATATTTGTGTTTAAGATGCTGGTGGTGTAATGCTATCCTATTTTTATTATAAAGCTGCAGTAACCCCCCACTATTCAGAAATACCAGCACCAGCCTCTGGACGTGAGGATTTTAGTGATACAAAGGGCTTGCCTACGAATCAATGGCAAAAAAAAGAAGAGTTTGAAACAGCAATCACATGCGGCCTCTGAGGATACAGTGGTATCTGCCCCTGGCTGCTCTAATAACAGCATCTGCTGACATAGTGGTCTTTAAGCCGACATTGCAAAGCGCCCTGAAAATGTACATGAATATTTTTATTATGACCATTTTACATATGGGAACATGCAGAAACAGGGAAGTTAAATGACTTGCCTGAGTGGTTTGTCACTGCTAGCATCAACACATAACTCCTGTTTGTTGGCTTCAAACTCTGCTCTCAACAGTGCTGGGCTGCCACCCCAGTCCATTGGACCTAATAAGCAAAACAAGACTGGGTCAGGGCAGTGCTTTTTTCCTGCCAAGAAAAACACAAGTGATTCAGGAACTGGCTCTGGCAATTCAGCAGTTCTTTACATCCAGAGTGCTGCTAAATCATCAGATTGAGATCAAAAGGCAGACTGGTGCTGCATCAGCCTCGGTCTGAGTGTGAGGTGCCGGGGACTGATAGCCTTGGACTCATGGAAGGACAGAGTGACAGTGATTTGGTGCTACCTCTGCATCTTGCAACATTAAGGTTGTGCCCAGCCTCAAGTAAAACTGCTGTTTGCCTAGCAGGCTTCACCCTCTCCTGCCATACCTCAAGTCCCCCACAACCCTCCTGACACCCAACACACCTTCCTCAGTGTACCCCAATGCCTTCTACCCAGCCCCTATCAACCCACAGTCCCGCTGGCCCCTCTTTCACCTGCATGAGTCCCAGCCCCACTGTTAA